AACTGTTCTGTGTATTTTTTTAAAGAATTATTCTTGAAAACTTGTTTTTCAAAACTTTTAGAAATATATGATGTTACAGATCAGCCTGTACAATCATTCCTTTTCAAAGATCCTGATCTCTGAAGAAGCTGGAGTTGAGATCATACTGTTAGTAATAACCAAGTAAGGAATAGAGTCTGATGCCTGCACTCCATTCAGCATCACTAAATAATCAATTAATACATTTATTTTCAAAATATTCACCAAATGTTTTAGTTTCAATTAGAGACTATAAGTAAAAGCTAAAACATGTTACTGTCTAATGGCTAACTCATATATATAAGAGTTACCTGAAAGGCAAAAATACAAGTGCTAACATTATGGAAAGTGGAATTAGAACTCTGAAAATTGCTGTATGAAAATGTTTGATTTGAAAAGTTGATTAAAAATATCAAGTCAGTTAAGATTTCAGGTTCAGTTAGCACCAAGCTTCAGAAAGGCAGGTGATTCCAGAGCTTAGTTCTAAAAATATTCCAGAAGAATGAAGTTGAAGTTAGGCATAAAGATAATTTAGAAGGGTCTTGGTTAACTTTGACTATCTGGTGCCTGTATTATACTCTACTGAAACTGGTCCCTGTATTAGAATTAACATTTTCTGGGGTAAGACCTAAAGGCTAAGTGAGATTCCATCTTCATCTCCACAGGTTTTGGAGATAACATTAACTTAGGTACCTGTTGTTCTGCTGTAGTGCATTAGGAAATTGTATTGATGTATCTCAAAACTTAATGAAAGAATAACTGGCGCTATTATATACATAATAGTATATGATAGTGTGTGTTTTTAAAATTACTCTTGAAGATATATCCCTTTTAAAATTTGGATGTAGTTATTCAAACATCAGCTAATACAGAGAAACATAAATTTTAGAAATATGATAAAATTCTCAGAGAAGGTTTAAACTCTTGTCAGTTAAGTTTGTTTTACTTATCCAGTCTTTTACCTTTTACACCAGCCCCAGTCACCAACACACCAAAAAAGCACGCTACTTCTTTTAACCTGGGAGGGGTTTTTATTTATTTCATTGAAAAAAAATACTATACCTCCAAGTTGCCTATTGGGCTTTGTGTTATACATTCATTGCAAAAATGTTGAGGCCCATGGGTAAAAAGTGTTGGTAGAGATTTGAATGTAGATTCTTTCATGACTGCAAGTCATTAAGTTACCATGTGACCTAGTGTTCACATATGATCTTTGAATGTTTTCCAGAGTATCTCTCTGTCCTATGGATTTGAAAGTCAATAGGAATTAATCATAGAAAGCCACCAGTAGACTAGGTTCAACAAAAATTTTTTGAGGACTAATATGTGCCGGGTTATCTAATGCTTTCCATGTATAAACTTTTACTTAATCTTTTTAACTGTAAAGTACTTGAGTTATTCCTTCATTTATGGATGAGGAAACAAAGGCTCCGAGAGCCTAAGTGACTTGCTTAAGGTTGCATAGCTAGTAAGTCAAGAAGCAACATTTAAATTGAGGCAACTGTAAGCCCAGAACCTGAAATTCTAACCACTTTGCTGAACAGCCTCTCTATCCAGTAGAATAGCCAATGCTAAGACACACAGAATAGCTTAGACAATTATAGCATGTTTCACTTTTCAAACATGACTTTTATTTGGTATATTAAAATCTTAAGAGAAAAAGATTATTTTTTTCTTGTACCATTCTCTGGATTCAGTTTTATCATCATCTTTTCAGATTCAATATAGTAGAATTTCAAATTAAACCACATAAAACTAATTTTATTTATCTAAAGGCTTCATTACCGCAGTACTTATATTTATTTTTTTTCCCATTTGTAAATGTATACTTTTCCCTTCTTGCCGAATAGTCAATCAAAAAATTATTATTTGAACTTGTATTATCATTTTAAAAGTATTGGCAAATTCTCATTTCAGAGTAGCACTGTCCAGTCAAACATTCTGTGATAATGGAAGTGATCTCCACCTATGCTGTCCACCATAGTAGCTACTAGCCACATGTCTATTGAGCACTGGAAATGTGAATAGTACCACTGAGAAACTGAATCTTTAACTTACATGTAGCTAATTAGTGTTTGGTAAATTGGACAGCACAGGTTTATAACATAGCTGTTTTTGCATTTAATAAAAATGCCAACCCATCTTTCTGTCATCTTGGTTATTTGTGGATCCTTACAAGTATGTGTAGATTAATGGAATGCTGAATTTATTTTTTCTCATTTAAGAATTAACTTATTTCCTCAGCATTTCCTCAGAATAAGTATTTATAAACTTAGTGAACAAATTATTATAGTTCAATAATTTGTGTGTAATTTATTAACTACAAAGTTAAATTCTTTTTGGGGCTGTATTAGAATTAAAATTTTGTGATTTTTAATACTCAATCTCAGTGAATATTCTTTTATTGAAAAATTTTTGTAGATTTAAATGTTGATGAGCAATGTAGTGATTTCTTATATCTTACTTAGGTCTTTGCACCTTTCAATTATCAAAGGAAAATCAGTAGCAGATATTTGTTCCAATTCAGTAGAATGCAGAGGTACCTGGGAAATCTTTCTTGGGTGTAAGATGAAAAAAGTCAAAACAATCAGTTATGCAGTTTTGATGATAAATACATATGATCTCATCCAGTTCCATGATTTTGTGAATCTGTTTGTGCGGATTGTCTACTGTATCAAATTATCTCATGTTCAGGAACCATTTTTCCTATTCTCCTCCTCAGTGTCCTTCACTTAGACTGTAGACAGATTGTTGCTTTTTCATTGCCAGCAGTAGGATAATTAGAGGCATGAAAGCCAGCTTAGAAAAGTAAGCCATGGCTGAGTGACAGAAGCAGCACGTGAGAAGGTGCTAGGTAAGCCAGGATAGCTATTAAGATCCTGTCAGATAATTAGTAGTTGACCATAATTCATTTTGACATTCCATTAAATTAATTTTTAAAAATTAGTACAACTTATGAAGTTATATATCTTGGTGATAAATGTTTGTATACATGGGTGATCAAATTTCCTCAGATTAATAAATCCTAAATTTTTAGTGAAAAACATTGTGTTAAAGAGAAAAGTGTGAAATTTATAAAAGGTAAATGTACTTAGGTCAGTATCTCATTATTTTGAGTATTTAATCTTACTTTTAAATGTATTCCTTCAAGAATGTCCTATATAGTTCTTTGTTCATTGCTTCATTCATTCCTTTATTCAGTACACATAATCAAGCTCCTAAAATGTGACAGACTCTACACAAGACTATGGGAATGAAGATTGAATAGGCCGCAGTACCTGCTTAGGGTGCCCATATTCCAGAGGGGGAAAGATAGACATGTCAACAAACACATGAAACCTGTCACAAATCCTTTCATTAAAGTTCAGCTGGGAACCAAGGGAAAGAAAGGTCATTTCCACTGGGATGGGGAGGAAGAGGTTCAAAAAGGACTTCAAAGAGGAGTTGAGCCCTGAGTTGAGCATTGAAAATGATAAATGTTCATCACATGGATTATAGGAGGAAGGGTGTTGTGAGTAGACAGAGCATTGATAAGTGAAGATGCAGAGAAGTAAAGCCATGTAACGTATTCAGGAGAAGGAAGTAAGTTGCCCATTATGATTAAATGATGGAATGTGGGGTTGGTGACAGGAAAAGGGGACACTGTATAATGATATATGAAACTGAAGAAATGGACAGAGGACCACATAATGGAGAAAGTTTGAATTTTATCTTTCAGACAACAGGGAGCCGTTGTGCACTTGGAAATAAGAGAGAAACATGATACAATTTGGGTTTAAAAGAGGTTACTTTAGTGGTGATGTGAAGATAAATCATTATGGAGCAAGTGGCATAGAGGCAAGATCAGTTATAAGACTCCTATGATAATTTGGGTGAGGGCTATTGAGGGTCTGAACCAAGGTGGTAAAGGTAGGGATGGAGAAAAGGATCTGAAATGGGAGAAATCTGAAAAATTGAGCAGAATGTATTTTACTGATTGCATGTGGGAAATGAGGAAAAGGAGAATTGGGGATGAAACGTTACATTTTTAGCTTCAGTGTCGTGGTAGATGGGTTGTAACGCCGGTAATAGAGTCAGGAAATGAATACAGAGGGTAGGAGTACATTGAGGGTTGGGGTTGGGACATACTGAATTTGGGATACCCATGTCATTTCTGATAAATGATAGCTGATTGGTTATTCTATGTGTGAATTGTCTTTTATCTCCCAGCCATGGGGGAAAATGACCTTGGATGGTCAAGGGACCTTTTCCACATTTTATCCTCATTTTACTCTTTTCAAAGACAACTGTTTAGAAACTATAGAAACTATAACATCTGGCATAACTTACATAAATTAAGAATTTTATATACTAAAAGTTTAACCTTTTTGTTTTAAAAAGAGGAAAGCCAAAGCACTGATAACAGTGTAACTTTTAAAGAAACAAAGTAATTTAAAATCATAAAATATTACTTTTATAATTTAAGTGTGCGTCCTCTAAGCTATTCAGTTTTGTAGTTATACAGGGTAGTGGAAAGAACATGTAAAATATAGCACCAACATCTATTATGTACTAAGTAAATGTTGGTTTTATTCCCCTAGAGTCCTTTAACACAGATGTTTAAAAGTTCAGATGTAATTGAATAGTAAAATCATAAACTTGAGAGTAAGAAAAATCTAATTTTTTTTCCTAATACATTCTAATATCTCATTTTGGACATATGTTTTAATATCTCTAAGTTATGGTATAAAATTGAGAGGGATGGCCTAATGACACTGTGATCTCTTCTTCCAGCTTTATAATCCAATGCTTCTATTATATTTATTTAAAGGAAAAAATATACACTTAGGAAGCAACAAGATTAGGCAATAAATCATAAAAAGTGCTCACAAAATGTGTAGGCAGAGAAGTGGCAAATGATCCTCAATTGAGCAAATAAATATATGGTAATGTATTTGCGAAAACTTTTGATTTACATTTAAGGAATGATAGTAATGGACAGGAGTGCCCTTGACAGGCAGGGAGGGCTGGGCTGTGTATCCCTCTGCTCGCACTGCAGGGAAATGTCTCAGTGACTTTTCCTGAGGAGGTTCCTGGTCTCAGTCGTCTCCAGGAAGCCCTCTCAGGATCGGTGGCCACCTCTCACTTACGGAGTCCTGCAGACCCCACAATGCAGTCCTGGTGGCCTGGCTGTAACACTCAACTCAGATCGATTAATATACACCACCAGGATCTCCTCGATGACTGTTAATATCCAGGATGGACATGACTTTCAAGACCAGTTGGTCAACAGTGAGACGCCCATGGTTGTGGATTTCCACACACAGTGGTGTGGACGCTGCAAGATACTGGGGCCAAGGTTAGAGAAGATGGTGGCCAAGCAGCATAGGAAAGTACTTATGGCCAAGGTGGATATTGATGACCACACAGACCTCACCACTGAGTATGAGGTGTTGGCGGTGCCCACTGTGCTGGCCATGAAGAATGGGGATGTGGTGGACAAGTTTGTGGGCATCAAAGATGAGGATCAGCTGGAGGCCTGCCTGAAGAAGCTGATGGGCTGACAAGCAAGGACGAGTCCTGGTTCCCTTGCCCCCGTGTAACACCAATAGAACTCTTCCTGCCACCTCTCTCCTGTCTGGCCTCTGGGGTCCATGCTTAGAGCCCAGGCTCCAGCAGTGAGTGCTTCCGAGCTGGCAGACTGCCCAAGATGGTGGCAGACAGCATCAGAGGATAGTGCTGCTGCTGATCCAGGGACTGCCTTCTTCCCTCCCACATGCCTTTCATCCCCTTCCACTAGGGCCTATGGCAGTTCCCTCAGGATGCATAGAGAGAGCCCAGGCCAGCCCACAGCACTCCTGTTCAGGCAGCCACACCTTGGTCCTCATCTCTGGTCCCTTCCGATCTGAAGACTCGTGCCTGGCTTATCTGCCACCTGCATTTCTCTTTCCTGCTGCTGTTTTGTAAAAAGAAAAAGAAAAAAGAAGCCCAAACTAGTGAGAATAATACATAATTCTCTCATTTTTTGTAGGTCTGTAATAAAGAACTTAGTCATCCCTTCCACCTCCTACTGTGAAGAGCAGACCCTGGGTCCCACACTGAAATCCTGTGTAGTCGCCCATCCCCATTCCCCAGGGAACCCCCTCCCAGCTAGCCTCCCAGGCAGGGGGCCAGAAAATGAGCGATGGACTGGGAACCCTGTAGAGCCTTGATTCTGGAAGGCTCGAGGCACCTCCTTCGCTCCTTAGCTGGCCTGTTGGTCCTCTGAGCAGGGGGCTTAACTGTGAACAAATCAGACCAATAAAGCAAGGGTCTGCACCTAAAAAGACAAATTTATGAATCACTGTACTATCTTTGAAGATATTTTCATGTCCTACTACAAGTAAAGGAACCATCAAAATGTTCACCATCAGGGCAGAGTCTTGGAAATAAAACATGAAACATTCTACTCTTATGTGAAATCATTAGCGTACTATGTGTAGATGTGGTGTTCTGTGTATAGCAGAACCAGAGAAACTTTAGATCAGGGGCAGCTAACAGGAGTAAGAGCATGGAAGGTCTATTGTGTGTGAATAAACTATATATATATATATTTCATTTAATCTAGAAAAATTAAGGTTACATGATTAAAGTGTGTAAAATCAAGTAGCATAGACAGAAAATCTGGGATTCCTCACCTAAACTTGAAACCCTAGAACCCATGGACTATTCTTCCAAACTTATAAAAGCTAGTTGTAGAACAAGTAAAATGAATTGTCGTAAAACCTTGATATAAACTGGGCTTAGACAATAAATGTATTTAACTGATTAGTCATTTATGTTTAAAGGTGAAACATATGTGTTTACAAATTTAGGTAGTATTTTTAGCAATTTCAAAAGCAAGAAAATTTTAATGCTTTTTTACTCTTTAAAACATTTTTAAATTTTTATTTATTTATTTTGAAACAGAGTTTTACTGTGTTGCCCAGGCTGGACTCAAACTCCTGGGCTCAGGCAGTCCTCCTGCGTAGCTGGGACTGCAGGTGTGTACCACCGAAGCTTGTTTTTTTACTCTTTATAGGTTTTATAATCTCTCCAGCCCCCAGCACTTTCCAAAAGAATCATCAGTATTTATAACATAAGTCTCTTTCTTGCTAATACTAAGGTTTACTACTATTATGCAGATAAATTTTTTCCCCTGATATGGTGGTATAACTTAAAATGCTTTTAGTGGATTTCTTTATTTTAATCTGCTATAATTAATGTATTCATTTAGTTTATTTTTATTCCCTAACCAGTGAAATAGGGAGTAAAGAGTTGTCTTCATGTAGCTCATAGTCTAGTAAAAGATTTAGACAAGTAAAAGCACAATTATGAGAATGTTGTAGGAAGTGGATTATAGGACGTGTTTTTTTGTAATGTGAATTAGATTCAGTAATGCTATGTATCTATGCAGAAAATTTTCCGAATCAAATTTGATATTCTTATAAGAGAGAAATGCACCAGTTAAATTGATACACTAGCATAATTGAAATTAGTTCTGCCTTAGAAAATCCAATGTAGATGCCATATTTTTTTATCTGGCCTGGTGTAACAAGGTATAAAGTCCCAGGCTCTCTGACCACAGTTTAATGTTATATTCACTGTTGTCTTTTATTCATAGGTTAATTTTTCAGGGACATCTTAAACTTGTTTTGTTGTAAGACAGCTGTGCAATCCAAACCATTAGGTCTGTGACAAGCCTGTTTTCTCAATCTGGACTTGTCCTTAGAAAATTAAAGAGACTGTACTTGTGATCTTATTAGTTTAGAGTCCTGTTTAGTAAAATGAATATTCCATTTCTATACTGTATTCTTCTTAAGTAGATGACCATATAGCATCAGCAGGCCATTGTTGTATGTGAGCCACAAACTTCAGAGAGCATGTTGGTATAGGTATTAATTATTTCTTTTACAGGGGCTAGCTGTACTGGTAACTTAGCTCTTTCAATCTTAGCTCAACTCCCTCTGAGTAGGAGCCATGACAGGTTAAACTGTGGAAGAATATGAGCCTCACTTTAGGCTGTAGTCTTGAGGTCATGAATAAGCCATAGTTCAATTCATAGAATGACAGGCAAAACATTCCCTTGTTTGTCTTTCATTCATTCTTAATCAGTACTTAATGAGCACCTACTTCAAACCAGGCATTATACTAGTCTGTAGATGCAAATAAAAATAAGACTTGGTTCCTGTCCTTAAACTGGTAGGCAGATACAGATATTTATAGTAAGGCATACAGTGATACATAGGTACCTGAGATTAATACTAGTGTGAAAATGCAGCATAGGAATTCATATTGGAGTGGTATAGAATTTCTGAGATCATCTTGGGAAATAGACTGAAACTAACTGAAATGGGAACTTGCTTTGAGTCCATTTTGGAGATATTTACATCTGTAATTGTAGCACTTGTACTACATTGCTTTTTCAACTCCTATCCCCACTACAGTGTGATCTGGCAAAGCAGTGTCTATGTTGTTTAGTTTTTTAATCTCTGGAATGTGGTACAGTTCTTGGCTCATGTCATGGTGGGAGCTAAAATCATGGATAGTTAAGTGGATCAAAAATTCAAACCTCTTGTAGAAGCGTACATCCTCCTCCCTTTCCTTCATTGGCAGGAACTGTGTCAGTAATGTATTGACTGTTTGGGGATAATAGTTGATTAATGTGATAAGAGGGTACCTCTTTCCCTGCCTTTTTTTATTATGTAGTAGCTTCTTTGACATTTATATATCAAAATTATATCACAGTTGGTATGGGGAGATTGGTCTCAGGCAGGTAGGAAGAAGACACTGGACTAGGGAAAACTAGAGTATTATGCTCCCAACCTTTTGAAAAATTTGTTATTCAAGGCATATATCATTCAACTGTGCCAATGTGTTTCTCATCCTTGTTGCTGTCATTTACCAGTCTCTTGCTTACTTCTTATTCATCAAATACTTTGGCATCTGGCTCACAATGTTCCTCTACACTCTCAGCTCTGCATTCATTCTGGGTGGTTTTGAATTCTATGTTAACGACTCATTTAACATCACTGCACCTCTGTTCTTTGACCATGTTATCTCTATTCCCTTTTTGTTCATTTCAGATGTCTAGTTTCGCCAAGGACCATGTCATATTCATTAACTGCTCAAGAATCACCAATGTAGGTGTGTGATTCTTTGATCACAATTTCCTCTCCTTTTTGCTTGCTTTTTAAATATTCCCATTATGATCATTCTTCATCAGAACTTCTCATCCATTTATCCATCAGTCCTCTCACTTTCATTTTCATTTTTTCTTCTTAACCATTTTAGATTACTTGGTCCTAAAATTCCTTTGCACATCTGCCTCTTTATCAAATCTCTCTAACAAAAAAGTAACTCATGATAAACTCAGCTATGTGCTTTCTCAGTGCTTTCAGCCAAGAGCCAAGCACTGCTAGAGAAAGCCACACAGAAGAACACTAGAAATTTACTATCATCAACCTCAAATGGGCTGTCAACATGACTTGACAGTTTTATCACATTTCTCTGATCAACTCTGTCTCTCATTCTTCACAAGTTCTATTTCATTTCTCTCTTTATACCTCTGACTTCTCCATTATCTGTTTCTAAGTTATGATATTACATCATATTTTACCAGGAAAAGAAAAGCTATCAGACAGGAACCCCTTTAACTTCTTCCTATTAAATATTCACACCTACTGTATTTTAACTTGACCGTCTTATTCTATTATAATAGAGGCGTTGTCTGTTATATTTATCTATTGTTACATCACACAGGACTCCTAAATTTAGCAACTTAAAGAGTGACAACATTTATTTTACTTCTGAAAGTAAGTAATTTGGGCAGAGCTCAGCTATGCGCTCTATATGACATCAACTATCTTAGCTCAAAAGCTGGGGACTAGAAACACATAAAGCCTTGCTCATTTACATATTTCCCTGTTGATGCTGGCCATACAGGTAATTTGTACCTTACTTAGGACTGTCAGCTGGAGCACCTACACATGACCTCTACATGTGGCTTGGGCCTTCATATCATGTGGCTAAGTTCCAAGAAGGAGGGAGAGAGCCAGGTATAAGCTGTGTCACCTTTTATGACCTAGCCTCCAAAGTCAAGCAGTGTCACTTCAGCTGTATTCTGTTCATTAAGTGAGTCACTTTAATGAGTCTGTATCAAGGGAAGTTGAATTCGATTCCGCCCTTTGATGGAAGGAGTTACAAAAATGTTGGTACATGTTGTAGATATCACATTGTACATCTTTCTCTGCAAGGCCAATCTCTCCACTATTACTTTGGATCCCAATCCCTCCTGCTTTCCCAGGAGTCTTTGTATTCTTATCTTTTACAGGTATAATAATATGTCTTCTCATTTATTTAAAAAATGTGTACCCCTTTTCCCTTCACTTTCAGTTTTCTCTTTGACCCTACTTTCTCTTTCCCTTTCTCATCGCTCACCTACTAAAGTGAACTGGCCTGTGATTTACAGTATGTGTGGTCAAATCAGTTGACTTTGGTGCTCAGGCAGGTAATTTTAATGTGTCTTGGGTAAAACCTGAGACGGGAAGAAAGAAAAAGGAGAAAATGTTCTTTTTCTGTTCTTACTATGTTATAGTTACTTACAGTCAAGATACAGA